GTGGTGTATCTTAGCCTGAAAAACCCAGATCTATTTTTGACACTTCCAATGGCCCAACATTTTCAAATCTGGAGGAGACCCCATAAAGTCTGGCACAGCATCCATGAAGGAAAAGATTGCTTCCTGCCGATTACTCAGTTATATCTGCTTAAACAGACGTTAATGAATTCAAGTCTTAGAGCAACACTGCATTTATTAGTCAATCATAGAAGCTGAAATTCACTTCCGAAATGTGAATTAGAAAATCAAGCGCCCTTTTCTATTTTTTTCACTTTCTTCCCTCCCTCATCACTTTAGCTTGAGCTATACCATCTGTCTCAACCTGTCAAACACTGTGCTGTGCATGGCTGGCAAAAACACGTGGAACAGTACACCTCATAACCCCAAGTATGAAACCAGTGAGCATCTATAAAAGTGGTCCACAACGGAATCTGGCCATCTGGGGATAACTGGTTACAGCAAGCTTAGCTTCTCAGCCAGCACTCAGATTTGCAGGCGTTTAACTAGTTGGCAAAACATCAACTTGTGCTCAAGAAGAGAAATGCGAACAAACATTTCTTTTTTCAAAACACAAGAAGTCAGATATAAATTTTCAAAGGTGTATTTGCCAATATCGCTGATGAGAAGGCTTCAGAAGCAAAGATCAAAGTACTGTCAATGTCCTTGACATGGAGACAAAGTCAATCCAAATCGAGCATTTTGCAGCTCTACTAAACTTTTTGGGTACGAATGTGTTTCTCCTTCTCCATACTGCCTGAATACACAGAAGCAAGGGATTAACGCTGAACAGACTTCGAACCAGGTAACACAGTCCCTTTCAGGGATGGCTCCAAGAGCCTGAAAGGAGTTCCTCTTAGAGCTGCATCAAAATAATACAAAGGCTCCCTTCACCCCAGAAAGGCGGCTTCCTAGTCCAACCCCAAACCAAAGAAAAACAGACTGAACAACGGTGGTGTAAGATACTGAAATAATAACTGGACATGTGGCATAGTGGCCCAGATCAGGGGCTCTGAGCTCTTTCAATACCCCTTTCGAATCCCATGTCTGCCACTTCATAGACATATAAGTAACTTCAGGCAAGTTACCTAAACTTCCTGGGTCTTAGTTTTCCCAACTGTAAAGCAGGGATAATAATAATAATAATACTGTCAGAATTATTCAGAGAATTATACAGTGCTTAGAAATGGCACTAGGAAGTGAAATATAAATATTGGTAATTGATTCTCTATTTTTCTGTTGATACTTCAGGCTTATTTTAGTCTAAAAGAGGAGGAAACCATGTGATGAGAGCTCCTTAATTAATTTAAGGAAGCCTACTGGGTCAAATGAAAGATTTCCCTGTTAAGATGGAGATACCAATACTGCCTGAAATACCACCACTAAAACTGGGTCAAGCAATCAGGGTTAAATTTTCTCCTCTTTCTGTTGACCCCCTCGAGCATCTTAGGATGACAGGCTTTGCAATGTGGGATGCAGGGGCAAGCCCTGCTGGAGAGTACTGAACCTCACCATCACCACCACCAGCAGGCCTGGAAGTGAGAGGTGGAGGAAGGCCACCCACCACAGGCCAGGGAAGTACAGACGAAGAAGGCAGTTGGCCCAGCCTTCATCAGAACCAGGCGGCTTGCTGCATAAGACAAAGGAGCTCATTCCCCTGGCACTGAGATCGGGGCTGAGGTGCCAGGAGGCCACACAGAACAGGAAGCACACGACTTTTAACTCCTATTCCACTGGGTGACCTTAAGGAACTCACAACCCTCTCCAAGGCCTTGATCGTCTGCAGTAAAATGTAAGATTTTGATTTGATCAGAGCATCTCAGCTTTCCTGCCACCATGAACCCCTTTGACAGTCTGGGGATCCCTTCTGAGCATCACGTTTTAAACTATGTAAAACAAAAGACATAGAATTATAAAGGAAACCAACTATAGCTTTTTTTTTTTTTTTTTTTTTTTGGTGAGGGAGGTAATTAGGTTTATTGTTTATCTTTAGAAGAAGTACTGGGGATTGAACCCAGGACCTCATGCATGCTAAGCATGCGCTCTATCACTTGAGCTGTACCTTCCCCCTCAATTATAATAAAATACAGTTACCTCAAAAAAATTTTAAAATACATTTGATGGTAATATCTGTGATTCTTTATTAAAAATTAGAAACAAGACATAGTGCAGGATAATATACACCATAATTTTGAGTAGTCATAGTTATAAAGATGCTTTGAGACATTGTCCACAACAGTAAGGTGACATGAAAATACCTGTGATTTCTAGTGGTGACAAAGAACAGACACTGCTAAAACCACTGTCCTCTATGGCCTACGTGAATAATGGAAGGAGAGCTGAAGGTCAGTTTGAGGTTCGTGAAAATAAAGTTATATTTTTTTCTCAAACAAATTCCCAGACCCTGTGAATTCTATCCATTCATAGTTAAGTTTCCCAATCTAGGTAAATAATAAATTGCTTTATAATGCCAATGATCCAGGGCCAATGATTGAATTGCTTCCTTAGCTCCATCCACAGAGAACATTCACAAAAGAAAATGAACTGTTCTATCTTTTCCAAATGTGTGAAGAAAAGCCAGATTTATGGGCTAGCAGTGTCTTTTCCCCATCCCTATAGAAGTGAAGGGAGCACTTACTGACTTGGAAATGAGCTACCAAACACTCGCAGGAACCTCTCAGCCTACAGGCACATACAGATGAAATGGCATCAACCAATTAGCAACAGTTCCTGTTCCAGCCCCACCTGCTCCTACAGGACCTCTGGTTCCCTTGAAAAGTCCCAACCAAGTATTTCTAAGGATGCCAACAAGGGGGACTTACAAGAGCCCACGAGGAGTCTGACAGCCAGTCACATCATCTGCCATTTCTTCCTTCCCACGCCAGCTCCCCCTAGTGTCCCCAGGAAGAAACCGCTCTGCTGCCTCCACAGATGGTGCCCCACACGAGCGCACTAATGGCCAGATACAACCAGCGGAGCAGCCCATACCACCAGGCAGCAGGGCTTCCCACCTTGGGTCCCAGGTACCACAAATGCACAAAAGAAATGTATGGACAAATACACCTCTGTCACTCGCATCCAGTTGTCCCGTAGCCCTTAACACCCCAGCTCCTAACTAGAGTGGTTCAGGCTGCAGGGAAAGGCTTCTCCACATCTTGTGCCCAATCTCTTCACTCCAATCAAAAAGGGACTGAGCTCAAATGCCCCAACGGTTGGTGGGCTGTGACACTCCGAGTTTGGAGTTACACAGCATTTCAAAAGCAGAGAAGATGAGAGCAGCATTAACGCTGAAGTCAAAGAAAAAACAGAACAGCCAGTCATTTCTCTCAAGTGGCACGAAGGCAACAGGCTCTTGTATAGCAAATTATAGGAATGCCAAGCATCGCTCCTCTTATTGCTCTGATTAGTGATTCCGGAATTATTAATTAATGAATTAGTGCAGCACAGGGGAAAATCACACATGGTACCTCAGGAACATTTTGCAAGTAAACAATTCTTATTCTTAAATTGGTGAAGATGTAAAATGCATAAAGCATGATACTAATTCTTTATATCCGCAACTAAAAGAACACTGACTTCTAAACCTGTATATAGATTTATGTTGATTAAAATATTTAGGATTTAATAACATTTCTAGAAAATGTATTTACAAGCTTCAGCTTTGTTTAAATAATTTCGATTTAAAATGTTTTATACATTCATTGTCATATGGATTTGCCTTTTACTGTTAATTTTAAAGTAAATTTTGGATAATTAATAAGAAAAACAGCTTTCTGAAAATAGTTTTTGAATTTTTACTTACTCTAATTTACACTGTTGATGAAAATGTATTGATATTTTGTACACTTAGAGTACAAGTTAACATTTTATTTTTATATCCTTTAGGTCCCTGAGAATGAGTACAAGTCAAGATCTTGGTGTAAGTAACTTCTTTTTTGAAGTCCAGAAACTTAAAAAACCAAAGGGAAAAAAGGGAAAAGAAAAATCTAAAAACAGGTAATTGGCTTAAATTTTTAAAGCTTGAAACAATGAAAGTAAGCAAATGTTTATCAAGCATGACCCATACAAAATTCACTAGCAGGACATTATGGATTCTATAGTTAATGAAGATTTAATTACTATTCAAAACAACAAAAAGGAGCCAGAAAACTTTTCTCACTGAATCCACAGCTTAACCAGGTCGGATTAAATCCCTGCAACTTCCTATTCTTTATACATAAAGATTTAATCACTGATCAAGTTAAGAAGAATGTATGTGGGCCCCCATTTGAACTCTTGCCCCAGAGGCCCCCCAAATATTGGTGGCAACAGCCGAGTCCTGAGTTGTGTGTTCTTAAAGTCCAAACCCAGCTCATCTTCTACCCGGCTCTCTCAGTACCATCATGAAAGCAGTCCACCAGGTCTTCGCCTCCACCCTACAGACTCTCACGGATGACTGCTCATACCTTGTCGCCACGTACACGTCAAGGAGCTAGGAGGGTAACAGTTACACCGTTTTCTGTCCGTCTCAGAAATCCTCTGCCCCAACTCAGCCAGATCTACAGCCATAGCTGAGGATCAGGGAGTGATAACACACACCGGAAGTGAGAGAGGAAGGGAGTCTGCACTTTGAGTCTGGTACACTGCATGCACTCGGAGATAAGACCATTTACTCAGCTTACTCCTTCTTGTGTCTTCATCCTGTCTTCCCCAGGCCTCCAAGGCTCTGGGCTGCCATCTCCACCATCTCCACACTACTTGTACATTTCCCTACCAGACTTATTAAGATGAAGGTGCAGTCGGGGGGATTGGCAGCACAGGCCAAAGCAAATGAAGCAGGCCTCAAAAAGCAGCCTTTGGCATTTTTGCTCATTATCCAGATCTTAAACCCGGAGGATAAATCTCGAAGCAAGTTGTTGTCCACAACTTAAATGAGCACAAAGAATGTTTTGAGTAGAGTTGTCCCTTTATATCTGGAGGTTTCGAGGAAGGATATTTCTTAGACATCTGGATTAAGGGGCTGACTCCTACAATAATCTATCAATTTTTGTTTAAAGGTCTATATGGAGATTTGAGTCTCATGCTTTAAACAGAGAAAGAATTTCAGAGGTTTTGCTCTCTGGAGATATATATGGAAATTCAATTATACTATATATATAGAAATTAAGAGGGTGGGTAGTGGAATAGGGGAAGGTTGAGTTACTTGCCCAAGATCTGAAAACTATTCTATGAGAGTCAGGGCGAGAACCTTGGTGGTTTCCTGACATTTCAATCAATGATTTTTCCAACTAATCACGGCTCCCTACCCACCACAGTTAACTACCCACATAATGTTTATGTGTTGCCATGTAACACTGGTATTATTCAATTCAGAAATCATTTATTAAGGTTTTGATAATGTTAGAAAATAAAACTTTGAAATCACAGAGTTATCAAGAGTCATCCTTCTCATAAGTTATTTTATATATTATTACTAAATGTATAAACCCAAGCATGTCTAATTATAATAGACATTACAGAAATTATACGGAACATTTCCAAACATAATTCTCTAAGATCTAAAGGACGGTTTAAGTGATAATGATGAGTAAAAAGATTTAAAAATGTGTGCTTCAGAAAATGTTAACTAATTGCATCTGTTCTGAAGAATAATTTACAGTGCCAACCTTAAAATGGAATTAATTTATTTTAATTTAAATTTTTATCAGATTTCCAAAATGCATCAAATATATGCATATAAAATGGGGCACACTAAAAATGATAAGTAATTATAATCCTAGCAATATTTAAAATAAAGTAATCAATCTCTTCAAATAAATGATAATTTTTTTTCATCCACTGGCTCACCTCTATACTCTAAGCAAAATCCTAAGTGAACAGATAATATATCGCATATGCTGTACAGGCCAACCACAAATATAAACTATTTGATTTAGAGATTTTTTTTCAATTATCTGTAACTAGCCCTTTAAAATAAAATGTCTCTTATTATAAAATTCTTACTGTAGGAGAAATTTCCATTAATATACATTTAAACAGCTTGAGAATATAAGCTTAGATGAGGATGCTAAATAGCTCTATTTTTGCTAGTAGAAAATTTGTTGATAACTAATCAAAGTACTTCAAGTCTCATTCTTGCCAAGTGGTAAAGGTGCACAACACATAAATTCAAAAACACATGTGTCATTCTAGATATTTTGAAAAGACTATATCCCTTTGACCTGTAAATGTTCAAGGGGAATTTTATAATTAATTCATCAATAATTTTTCAAAATGTTGCTATTATCTATTTCCTGACTAGACAGCAATTTTCCACCCACTTACAACAACCTTAAGTTTGCAAATGTTGTCAAATCTCCCCTGCCATTAATACTGGATTTCCCAGTTAGTTTACTTTGCATTTATCGGAGTGGATAATACAAGTCATTGGTTAAATAACATCCTTCCATCCCTATTCTGGATGAATGAATGAATGAGTGAATGAATGAATGATCTAGATACACATAACAGACCAGTTCTTGTCCTCTCTCCACGGCCACAGATAAAAGGTGTAAGAAGATATATATGCTTTAGAAAACAGTACAGGCATAAATACATACTATTTAGAAAATAATACCAGAATGAAATTAACTTTTTTCTTCTCTGTGTAGAATTTTTTTAAAAATCCACATAAACATTTTATCTTTGTCAATAAATACTTCCAAATTTGGGTTAGTGCATTCTTAAACTATACATAATAAACTTTCAAATTAACATAGTTTAATTAAAATATTTCAGTAACTCTACAAAATCTATGTTAATATGTTCATCAACTCCAAAAACTCAAAATTTTATTTTGACATAATGGAAGTTATTGCCATTTATAATGAAAATTATTGCCATTTATGCAAATATGATGCACATATATTTTTTACTTGATTTGGAAACAAAAGAACTCAAGATTAAGAGTTCTGGGACAAAGGTCCCATAGGTTTCTTAGTTCAGCTTAAACTGCTGACTATTTAAAATAGAGGTAAACCTGTAGCATGTTATACTTGACCCCAAAACATGCATTTGTGCTGGAAAAGCAAACAGAAAAAATGGTCTTGTTTTCTCATACATCACCAAGCTGACATTAAAATAAGATAAATTCTGGAAGACACAAACATATCAACCACAGTTCCCAGTTGGAAAAGAAGTAGAAAATTATAAAAATGAGGCAAGGAGAGTTAATAAATTTTTTTAAAAAGAGTAAAAAGAGAAGGTATTACCTGGCAAGGAATATATGGCTAACATTCTCAGATTTACTGTGGCCTAGGAGACCAGCCTAAATCAGACTATTACTCCTTCCCACTCCTGAGTTTGATTTCTGGTTGAGAAGATCTTGTGCTTCCAAATGTAAAAGATGGCCCTACAGTTGGGGAATTCCCTAAGGATGTTTAGAATATTTACACAGATACACAAAAAAGTATACTGACCCTATCTATCCCAAGGCATCTGACAAGACAGGAAAAGCAGCCTGATAAATCATCCTGCCAATTCAACTCTTAAGGAAAAGGAATCCCAATGCTGTAATGGGTAATGTCTGATGAGCCCACATGACAATTTTTCAGAAGTTTTGACGAGTCCCACTACCATTAATCTAATACCTGGACAGCTGTACTGTAGCAGGTTGAACACGTTTTAGGGTTTCCAATGGCAGGAATTACTTTGAGGGGTAAAATCAGGAGTATATACTATTCACCCCATAAATGTACTTGCCTCAAGCTGTATACTTACAAAACAGGGAAACCTACTTACATTGGCTAGTTTCCCATAAGAAGGATGTATTTTATTTAAAATGCTACAATTTTTTCTCTACTCACACAATAAGATACCATAAAGAATTCAGAAATGTTTGTTGATTGACTGATGAAGTGGGTGAATAGATAAATGAATGAATGAATGATTATAAACACACACCATACTCATGTACGATTATGTATTTGTGGGGTAAAGAAGCAACTGCTTCTCCCTCTGCTCTACTACTCCTTTTAAATTCTCTCCTTTTATTACTTTTAAATTACAGGGTGGTCTGATACAATTAAAAATTTGCCTCTGTAGTAATATGGATGCCTCTGAAAGTTCTTATATTGTGCCCAATTTGCTGTACTACTTGCTTAAAAAAACAAAAATCAACTAAACATAACCGTGATACAAATGTCATCCCTTGACATTCTATACTAATATGTTACTCGTCTTAGCAAAGCAATTTTTAGTTTTTTCTTTAAGTTCTATTAATCCTAAATGTTAATCGTCTCCCCATCACCTCCCACTAGATTACTGCATCCTTACCCTGTTTCCTCAGGGAGACTGTGACACAGCATGCTTGTCTGTGACTGTGGGTTTTGTCTGTTTATTGGCACATGAATATCCTTGAAGACAGGAAAAGAACTGGGGTGTGTCTGTGTGTATCTGTGTGTCTATGTGTGCATGCACTTCCCTGGATTGTTCTCCGCAGAAATCTCCCTCCACGTGGGAAATGAGCCAAGGAGAGCCCGAGGACTTCCCTGACCCCGAGCCAAGGGTGTGGCAATGTGCTCACCATGGTCAGCCCGTGCTTAAAGGGAAGGGGTGGGAAGGAGGAAGGAGGAAGTGAGAAAGAGGGAAACTGGTAGTCCGTGCTGAAATCTTGGACCTGTGAGAAAATCATCTAGGAATCCAACATTTTTGCAATATTTTCAAGTTTGCAGAGACTTCTCAGGACTAACATATTTTCAAGGGCTACCTCTAAGACCAGCCAGAGCCCTAAGATCTACTGAGGTTTACAGAAACCTAACCCATCAAGGATAAGTCACTGAGGAAAGGTCAGCCTTTCCTTTCACTAATGGAGTTTAATTATATCTCCAAGATAAATAATCACCTTTAGAATGTTTCCTCCCTACCCTACTGAAACCTCTTCAAGAGCCACTTTTAGTGCTTAAAATTGCTAGAGGTGGGTATAGCTCAGTGGTAGAGTGTGTGCTCAGCGTGTACAAGGTCCTGGGATCGATCCCCAGTACCTCCATTAAAATAAATAATAAATGCTTAAACTGCTGAATGCAGGGGCCCTTTCTTAGAGAACACTGTTACCACACTGCAGCACTTCACACTGTTGAACACACCTTCCTTAAATGCAGAGCTGCCAGCTCAGGATCTGACGTGCAGGGGGCAATAAATAGGAGCACGTCTATCTGTAAAGGTCCTCTCCCCTTAGCTTCTTTGATACTTGCCTCTGTTGGTTTTCCTGCTACATTTCTAACAGCTAAATATTTTGGAATCCTCTATCTGATCTTCCAGGCCCCAGTGTCTTCTCTCCTAGATGCGTCCCTAATTTTCTGGTGTGAAAATTAATACAACTCTCCTAACCCTTTGCTCTCCTCCTATTACCACACCAAACGTGATCTGAAGATTTTAGTTAATTGAGTTTATTTATATCCCCAACCAAATTTTCAGCTACATGGAAACAGGACCTTTCTCATCTTTCTCAGTGTACACCTCTAGCACGGGGCACAATGTCTTACACCCGACTGGGTTTTCTATAAATGTTGGTTGGATTCAAAAGTTTACTAAAGTTGTTGAGTGTAACTTTTAACTCCTTCCTTTTCCCAGCCCTCGTGTAGGCAATCACAAGCCAAAACCTCTAGACAAGTAATTGCACTCCCTCTCCCATCTGTCCCTCCTTTGTGTTCCTGTTACAACCAACTTAGTTCAGAACCTTACCTCTCGTGGAGACTATACCAGCGGCTTTTTGACTTATCTATGTCCAGGTTTTCTACCTCTTATCTGCGAGGTGAGGTATATTTCAAAAATACAATCCAATCACATCACTCCTTAGCTCAGAAGTGGGGAAAGGTTCTTCAACATTAGTCTATCAAACCGACATGCTAATTACTTATTCAAGGCCCTCTCTGTACGCTCTAAGTCTCTAAGGTTCCTTTCTTTCCTCTTCTTGCATGTCTCCTCTTCATTTACCAATGCTGTGTTCCAAGCACACCATGTGATTTCTCATGCCATGATGACAGCCACATTATCCATCCCATCTCTTTGCCCATGTGCTTGTAATTCTCTCCATCTGTCAAAATCTTGCCCATCTTTAAAGCCTTCCATGGGAAACACTTCCTGATCTCCAAATTCCTCCCCACACATTCCTACAAGTAAATGCCTGTGATTTCTTTCTCCTCTGAATTTGCAACACATTTTATTTATATATTTCTGAGGGTGCTACTTAAACTTTCTAATCTCCAAGTTAGGTAGGTGCTAACCTTGTCTCTGTTTTAGGTTTGTAAGCAATTCAAAGACTAAAATGCAGACTTACTCATCACTGGAGTCTTCCAACCACCAGAACACTGAATTGCACATGGCAGAAATGCCATAAATATTCATTGAATTTAACTGAATTAAAGCTTATACAAATAGCAAAACAAGCTCAGGTTCCATGTATGAAAGATGGGGGCTCAAGCCAACTTAGTGTTGGCGTCTGTGATGATTGATGTTCTCAAAATTTCCACTTAAGGCTGATGACAGAATCAAGCTCTGCTACAGTCAATGAATAATTTATTTGTGCACAAAACATTCTGTTAATGGAAATCTTTTTATGGCTCAAGATCTAAAATATATTTGCTGCCCTTTAGTTATTAAATGTTTGCTTTAATCATTAGTACACAAGGTAATGATAAATGATAACTACAGGATCATTATATGCTTTTAAACTGATTTAATCAAGAGGATCTCTTCTGAAATTCAAAAACTCCTCATTGGATGGCAGTGGGAGGGGATTACACTGGGACCAGCCGACTCACTGCTACCATCAAATTTAAGAGCCTAAGGATGTTGTTGTTAGAAATACCACCAATTGAGAGGACAACCTTCGATTTGAATGACTAATACACTTTTCTAGTTTTAGGGCTCAAGTAAAAATGCTCCTGCTTCCCTGAGCTAGACTGTCTCAGTCAAATACATCATCGCAAAGGGAAGAATAGCGCCTGTGTCTTTTGCGCATTCCCTAGACTTCCCAGCCTGCCAAAAAGTGTTCTTTGCTGTGCTATTTCAGCAAGTCGTGAGATGACAATGATCGTGCACCTCAAAAGGAAAAGATAGCTATTTTCCCGTATGTTTTTATTTTGGGAGGTGGAAGGCACACTTCTGGCTGCTGTGAGTACTCTGACAAGTACACGCACTCCTGAGGAGGTGAATTTGTGGGGCATTTTGGCAGGGGGAAGGTTGAGAAAACCTAAAACCATCCTGAGCTCCTGGGAAATATTTAAGGAGCTGGAAGAACAGCAAGAAGAGGAAGAAGACTCAAGTCTTCCAGTGAATTCCTGTTTCCAACTATAAACCCTCATGGAGGGAAAAAAAATAGTTGAGTAGTATGAAGTACACGCTTTTTAATCTACTCTTGTCTCAAACTCAATTGGTGTACAATCAAATTCATCATCCTGTGACCCAAGCCAGCTTCTCTGTTTACTTCTCTTTTTCTATTAAAAGTCATATTCAAACTCGCAGGCTCAAAGCCTGGTGTCATCACTGACAGCTTCCTCATGCTCCCCACCCCCAGAAACACACACACAAGCACACACACGCCTCCTATACCTGATCAGGGGGTCCTGCTTTGGTCCTGCATTGCACTCTCCCTCCTCTTGTCTGTGTCCTGTCAATCCTTAATCCCGCCATTCCAGTTCAGACCCTCAGCACCTGCCTCATCTCCCACCGCATAGAGTCAGATCAGAGGCACTTTGGGTCCAACCGGCAAATTTCCATAGGACAGGTCTAGAAACTGCACCCTGGGGTAATTGGGTATATGGAATCCAGGGACGATTATCAGAGGCAGTCCCCTGCAGAAGTATCAGGAAAGTCTTAAGGAAAACACTTAAGGCTGAAAGTAGCCACAAAGGCACCAAGATGCCAAACCTGAGAAGTGAGGAAGGAACTAAGGAAGAGAGTGGAGGAAGTTAAGTCAGAATCCCAGCACAGGGAACTACAGCCATGATTTTATAAAAATGTTTAATGGCGTTTAATCCATAAAAATACTGAATCACTATGCTGTACACCTGAAACTCATGCAGTATTGTAAACCAACTATCCTTCAATAAAAAACAAGAAAGAATTCCCTGAACCTGGGATTCAAGTGCTCGCTTAAGTTTTCTCAACAGTGCCTTCCTCTGTGATGTAAGTGTGGGAGGCGAGGGGAAGGGCACAGCAGGAGGTGACAGCTCTTGTGTGAATTAACGTTAAGTGCCTCCCAAGTGGCTGCTGCGCTTTCAGGGACTCTTGTTCCTACTCACCCCACCCGCACCTCTACCCCCACGCCATCCAACACAGCTCAGCTCACTTCATCTTCCTAAAGTGCAGCTCTGATTACATCACTCTGCGGCTCAAAAATTTTCAGGGACTTCCCACCACCACAGGCCAAATTAAACCCACATCCCTAGTCCTAAAGGCAGAGAAAGCTGCCCTCCACCTCCACGGCGCATCCACACCTGTTTCTCCCAGGAAGCCTCTGCATCCAGAGGCCACATTTTATGCTAGCTCATTAACTCTTTTTGGAGGGAAATTGTTTTTGTTCCCATGGTCAAGACAAGGACAGTAAAACTTCCTTGTAAGGGAAGGTAGGGATTTTTGTTATGTGTTAGGGAGGGGAGCAGGCGGGGTGGAATTGTTATTTTACTTTGAGGTAAATTTTTTTGCATTACAAAAGATCACTTAATAGGTACATACATGTGTTTATGGCTCTGCTCTGGATATTTAGTAAGTATCAGACTTGCTGATTCATCTTCCTAATATGATTAAAATGAAATCTGTGCCCAGGTATCAATTTGCAGTCCCCGAAATGAATTTCAAAAGAAGACTCATCATCAAATATTTTCATTAAGTTCAACAAGTATTTACTGAACATCTACTATTTTTTCCAGCCACCATTTTCAAGGCTGAAGAGGACACCAATGAAATAGAGACACAGTCTTTGCCCTCAAGCAGCTTACATTGCGGCTGGTGAGAGAAAAGTCCCACGTAAACCACTTGACTAGAAAGCATGAGAACAAAAAGTGATGGGAGAGAAATACAAAGTGTGAAGGGGATTCAGAGAGAAAAAGAGACAGAGCAGGAAGGTTTCTGAAGTCGGTGATGTCGCCCAGTAACCAGTTTAGTAATTCACAGTGAAAACTACAAAGGCTGAGGGAATCAGAATTCCAAAAGCATTCTTGATCTACGAGGATACTGCTTGGAGTCTGTGAGATTCTCAGAGCAGGACAGTGATTGGGTGAATTTAACAGTATCACCAAGAGAGGGTAGGTACACTGCCTCCAGGATTCCCTAAAACTATGAGAGCTGATTCTTCCCCCAAACTCCAGTATGCTTTCCATTTCCTTATATGTTTCACACTAAACGGAATACACAGATTGTATCCACAAAGCTCCAATATTTGAACACGGCCAGTCAACCAGACCGGTGATCTGGCATCAAAAGACAGACTGTCTGAAGCTGGGAGAACCAGAGTTGAATCCTGCTTCTATGACCCACTAATGCTGTGGCCTTGAGCGAATCACTCAGTTGTAATCCCCAGAGTCTATTTCCTCATACACAAAATAAAATGTAACATCTACACAATAGTTTTTGCTTTCAGTGAGCTCATGTAACGTGGAAGCCACTGGTAAACTGTAAGCCATTACACAATTAGTAACTCAAGTCATCAACTCAAGAAACGAGACGTACGATTACAAAGTTCCACTGTGCGGGCTCTGTGTGGCCAGTAAAAGACGAGAGGTTCTGCCACACACCGCCACGCCACACTGCTGGCCAAAGCAAGGAGACGGGCAGGACAGGCAGAAGGGAGAACTATGAAATGATGTAAAGGCCACCCTCAGTCCATGTCTCAGGTGGCTACAGAATGCTCAAGGTACCAAATGGGTTTTGCCCATACAACTGGTTTAATTAATGCTTGCCGACAACGATGAATAAGTGAATGGGTAAAGTATTGAATGCATGAATGAATCAAAGTATAGTCAGGTGCAATGCTTGCAAAACAAAGCAGGGAGAGTCAAATGTCACAGAAGAGGTGAAAAAAATCATTTTGGAAAAATGAAACCATGTAGCCCAAGAAACTAACAGTGACGGGCTCCCCTCACACCATGAACCGCAGCCCTTGTAAGTGGGCGCTTACGGGTCCATGGGTCTGACATCAGTTTAGTAATACTCAAACCTTATAGAGAAAATGAAGAGATTCCCCAGGTTTCTACACTTGACTTGCTGCACTCACTCCATGCTCAAGAGCTACACTAATCAATCAAGTTCCAGGGAAGTAGCCTCAAGGAAGACTATTTTAGAAGAAGCTAAAAGTAGGTGTCAGCATTGCATAAAACATATGCAACAGCATCCCTGAAAAACCTCCTGACCCCATCATGTCTTAAGATGTCCACAGGGGAAGCAGACATTATTAGTTTGGTTTTGAAGTTTGCTCCCCAAATGATTAGACACTTCTCCTCTCTTCTTTAGCATCATTCATCAGATTTTTAAATAGCTCCAGCTTATTAGAGGAAAATTAAGTAACAAGCCGCACAATTTAGAATCATGAATAAAATTTAGACTTTCAGAAACTCAAATCTTGTGACCTAGACTAGGAATATAAAAGTTTCCCCATATTTTCTATTACTGTGTAAAGTGTTAATTAAAACATGAGTTTTCCGGAATTAAAACAAAAGTTACCAAACCCTAAAATCAGTATCATTTAGATTTCCGATGTCAAAAATCTGTTTGACAGAGCAGGCGTTATTATACTGACATTTTAATAGTCGCCAAAGTCCTGTTCCCACTAAATTCTGTCTTGGCAGCACCAAGAATTTGCTACAAGCCTAAACTCCTCCTAATGGAGAATTCTCTACTTCAAAGAGTGTTCCGAAGCAACACAGTGCAACAAAAAAGTTGGACTGAGCAAATCCTTGAGATTTCTATTCTTATCACAGAAACCAAGCTTTCTGCAAAATGATAATGGTTTCAAAAAAAGAGAGCTACTCAAAATATTCTTATACCTTAGATTTGAATCTGATACTATACAGTACAATTACACATCGTATCTCATTAACAGTAATGTGTGAAATTCTCACATTACCTCAAGATTACAACAAACAATCATCAAAATGGTAAATGAAAGGATCTGGTTTCAAACTATAAATGACAACAGTTTCTAATCTTCTCACTTTCTCATCAGGATGTTCTGCCTATGTGGTAAAGACTTACCAACATTTTCACTTAGATAGCATCCTAAACATCTTTCAGGGCCTCAAATCATTACTGTCAAGGGTTCACATAAAGCTTAATATTTTGCTTGAGAGATCTTTCTAAAAATTTT